AATAATAATAATAATAATAATAATAATAATAATAATAATAATAATAATTTTCTTTCATCAAAACTGCCTAGCTCTACTCTATTTACAAATCGCCATATCACTGTATAGCCAATTTATTTAGGTTTCTTAAAGATATACTTGAGTTCTTACATTTTGAAGTAAGTTATGGAAGGCTCAAAAATTATTCTTTTAGAAACTACAGTATTAAGAGAGTATTATTTATTTATTTATCAATGAAATTTATCCACTGCCCAAAACCTAATAATTCTCAGTAACTTATAGAATTTGTTATAACAGAAAAAAAAATCAATGTTATAATTAATGAAACAGTAAAATCCAAGATTTCATGCTCTAGGTACTAAAAATAACAAGTTAAAATTTGTTTGGCAAAGCACCATTGACGAAAATTAATTTTCAAAGATCTTCTGGAACAATATAGGAATAAATCAAATATTATGGCTTAGACTGGCCCCTGATCTGATTTCATAGGTTGTTTCTTACAGTGTTAAAATGGCTAATTCATTTATGGAAAAAAAAAATTGGAAGAATCTGGGGAATAAGATTTTAAAGGAAAAACCTCTCAACTCATTAAGGGCTATTAACAAGTCCAGTGGCCAAGGAAAGAAGAAAAGGAATGGAGTATTTGTGGGGAAGCTACGGCTCGTAAAATAAAAATGCTCACATTAAGCTAAACCATTTTCCTGAAGTTCATTAAAAAACAAAAACAAAAAAATCACTAAGCAATTGTAAAAGCTTAATACAGGAAATAAGAAATCATTCAAACATGAAAGGATATTTCCTATGGCATGACAGCTTTGGTTGAGCTTTTTTGAGCATTAAAACTAAATAAATTATAATAATAAAAATACAGCTGTTTCCTTGAAAATTACTAAAAATAAAGACACAAAGAACTACGTCTAATGCACAATGTTTATATCAAAAACTCATGCAGATTGCTTTCAACTACATTGCCATCCGTTCTGAAAGCTTTCTTTACAGAGGCAGCTGTGTACACACATAAATGCATAAGTAAATAAGGCAGAAATGTACAGATATCATATCTTCCTTTCAAAGCTTCAGAGTTAATTGCTGAAATACTTGTTCAAATTGTCAGTTGGAGAAAAATCAGTCTAAGCTGTTAATAAATCAATGTATATTTTAGTTCTAGTAACAAGTACACCCACAGGAGTGGACCAACCTGATGATTAAGAATATAGATATTGACAGTGTCACAGCTATGCAAAGACAGTTTGCCTCCTCTTCCTAGTCCCTTGGGAGATGAGGAAAACAGGAGAGGAAACAACTTCATCCAATCTGCCTCAAGGCTACTAGATCTGAAGTGACATTGATGAAAATTCTTGAACTCACCAATCCCCAGACTCTAACATCAAGCAGGTTTTCTTTCTTACCTTCAAAGCTGCCGGCAAACAGGTAAATCCAGGTTATAGCAGGAACGAAAAGCAGAGTCAGAGAGGCAGCCAGGAATTTCCGTCGCCCTCTGCAAATTCCCAGCATTCTCTCTGAAGTGAAGCTTCCCAACGTGGTCCTGTTCCTATGTCGGAAGCATGGAGTCCATAGTCTCCCACATATTATCTGAAAGCAAGGAAAAGTAATGTCATCTATGCCACTTAGCACTTTCTCACTTCAAAAAGATCAGACTTTTTCATAGCCCCTGCAAAACTAAGATTAAAAAACAGCCGTGCATGCTGCAAAACCAAAGTCAATGCACTGTAAAAGATAAACTGTAAATCTGTGCCTTACGTGCATGATGAAAGAGCGTAAATCAATAGTGTATGATACCAGCTCAGATACCACATATGTTTTATTTAAAACAACAATAAAGAAACAGAAACTATAGTGAACAGTAATGGGAATTGTTGAAAGTTCGGAGAGAAAGATGAGACGTGAGGCGGCTGAGATGAGCGAACAGCTATTTTATTGAAACACCAACAGGCAACTATGTACAGATAAGATTCAGCACCCTGCCCTGCTTGACAGCTATTTATAGTGAGCTGTCAAGTAGGGCGACCAATGGGAGCGCCTCTGGCAGCTCGCACTCAGCCAGCCGCGTCTTAGCCAATCAGGCGCACTAGGCTGTTGCCAGCTGCTAGTCGTAAGTCAGGGACTTTAGGGCCGGTCACAAGTCTAGGACTTAGCAGGAATAATAATATTTTCCCACAAAAGCCATTTTATTTCACCACTTTCCAGTGTGTAAATAACCTTGTGAATGTCTGTAAATGACAGTAAGAGGTGACAAACATATGGGACATGTAGAAAGAACCTTAGCTGTATTCTTGTCAAGATTATTCCTGCGTGTCACTTAGCAATGAAGTCGAATGGCTGCTATACAGCATATTTTTCACTCCATAAGATGCACCAGACCGTAAGACAAACCTAGGTTTAGACGACAAAAACAAGAAAAAAAATCGGGCAGAGCCTGAGAGGACCCCAAATAGGTGTCCTCTCATGTGCCAGCTCTGCCTATTGACTCCTGCACTGAGGAAANTACAAGTTGGCCATGCCCACCCAGTCACATGGCCGGCAAGCCACTCCCACAAAGCAGGCCACACCTACAGAAGAGGTTCTAAAAAAAATTGAAACTCAGCACTGATGGAGAATAACACAGTGGCCAACTGATTAGAAGAGGTCAATCTACAAGGAGATGTAGCAGAGGATATTAACTATCTTACAATACCCGTTTCATAGCAGCAACATGGACATATTCAGTTACAATGGCAATGAGTGCACCATTGGAGGACTTTTAAAAATACTGTAGATTGTCATGAAGAAAATCTGTTCATGGAATCAAAAACAACTCAATGGTATATGATTAGTTAAAGTAAATGAGACAAGTTAATTGATTTCAGTATAACAACATGGTGCCAAACTTCAATTCTACTGTTTAGCACCTCAACTACATCAAGCTGTTGCATTTAAAATAGAGCTATTTTTAGTTGTGTAAATTCTGAATGTAGGTAGCTGTTTTCCAGACTCTTTTTTGATCTGCAGCTTTTATCTAAGAGAAAGGATCCTTTGTAGTTTTATTTCAATAGCAACTATTTTGCGGTTTTTATGACTCTGTTGTATAACCTGCATATTTGTTTGTCCCCTGCCTCACATAAGTCTTATGTCTTTAAGAATTCTTTTCTTAAAGGTTAAAAAACTAAACCATTAGGTTAAATAATAAATTAAAAGCTAAACGGTGAGGTGATAATAAATCCCATAGCCTTTTTGAGACTGAGATCAATATGTGCAATTTGAAAAGACTATGAATTAAAAGTAGATATTTTGGTCAAAATTTGTTTCCAGTTGTGGAAGATTCTGTTTCTAATTCTGTATGTGCAAATATGGAGTGCTCTGGGATACCTGTGCATATATGTGAAGGTAGATGCTTCAAAATCACTGCAGGTACTTCCCACCAATGCCAGTTAGGGCTGGAAATTCTGTCACTAAGTGGCATCACCATAAAATGAAATGTCACATGACCATGCCAACTTACATTAATTCCACTGTGGTTGTTAAATAAATTACCATGGATTGTTAAGTGCAATGTCACATGACCATAATTTGCAACTTTCTGCTAGCTTCCCCATTAATTTTGCTTGTCAGAAGCCAGAAGTGAAGATCACAAATGGTGATCACTTGACTAAAACACTGGAAAACTGGTGGAAACCCCTTTGGAAGAATCTCTCTAAGTGTAGAGAGATTCTAATCTAAATGTACATTTAGTTTAGATTGAAGGCTCATGTCTCAGATCTGGTACAGATTTCTGGGATATAATGAGGCCCCTTTGAGTAAAAATAATTCATCATAGTTATTGTGATTGAGCTTCACTGAGCACGAGCTTCGTAGGAAAGATGTGTGTTCCTAGACAGAAAGGTGTGGAACAGCATTTTGACATATTTATAGATATGCCCTTCAATCAGAGACCTATTTATTTGCCACATATGTAATTTATAATGATGTCAAGAAAATACTAGAACTTTGAAAATAATTTATTAATAATCTTCCTTCTAAGCAGAAAAATATCACAGCCCTTAGTGCCCTTCTCGCTCCTATCTGTAAAACAAACATACCGTAACTATATCACCTGCTTACAAAAGTGAGATAATTGCTTATAATTGCTAGAATGGGATGACAATGATCAGGGATTGTGAATGCTTTTATTATGAAGCAGTTGTTTTAAATTAAGATGCTACAACCTTGCTTTACTCCTCTCTGTGTTATAACAAGTTCATAAAGATGGTCCCAGGAACATCTAACTCTCAGAGTTGTATTAAAGTAAAAAGATTGGGCAAGAGGAACCTTTTATCAATGGTAGATGTCTTAATCTGTTCTATAGTCTTTCAGTTCAGTTTAGTTCAGTTTATTTCATTTATATGCCGCCCTTTTCCCCCGAAGGGGACTCAGGGCGGCTCACAACTCAACCAGAGAAGGGGAATACAGAGAAAAAAATTAAAAAAACCAAAGCATACCAATGCATAATTTAAAACATACAACAGTCATACCATTCGAGATGGGGGCAGCAGCTCTTTAGCCCCAGGCCTGTCGGAACAGCCAGGTTTTAAGGGCCTTGCGGAAGGCCTGGAGGG